ACTCTCCGGGTTTCTCCAGACTCTTTCAGGCCAGTAAATCTGGTCTTTTTTTGTGCGTTAGAATTTTGTTCTACATCTTTCTCCAGCTCTGTCCAGAACCCTCTGTTGTGATCCCGGTCGGAGCATGTTTTTCCTTAATTTTTGAAAATTACTTATCACATCAAATACTTCTTCTATCCCATTCTCTCTTTCTTCTTCTTGAACTCTAAAGTATGTTAGACCATTTAGGTATGGTAGACTAATATTACTCCACCGCTCTTCAATGCTTTGTTCTTTTTCTTTTTCACTCTTTTTTCTCTTAAAGTTAAGATTATTTCTATTGACCTTTATTCACTTTCCTGGATTCATCTGCAGTTTGTTGATAAACCCATTACAGGCATTTTTCATCTTTGATACCATGTTTTTCAATATTGTCATTTAACCTGTTAAATATTTTCATCTTTCTGCTTATAATTTTCACACCATCTGTTCATGCTTCCTGACTACTTTTTCTGCTAAACTATTTAACATACTAATAATAGTTATTTTACCTTCCCTGTCTGATGGTTCCACTGTCTGAGCCATTTCTTGTTCCAGTACTGTTTATCTCTTGAAAGTAGATATATTTTCCTTGCTTATGTGTGTGTTGTCATTTTGATTGAATTTCAACATTACATAGAAAAGAATATTAGAGACAGAGGGAAATATTTAAGCCCAGAAAAAGCCTCTTCTTCTGACAGATTATTAGTGAGGAGGAAACTTTTTTTTTTTTAATCTAATGAAGGGGTTTCCTGAGTTGGGTTTTTCTTGTTGCCAAAGTTACTTCAACACACCATAGGCTTCAATTCCTATAATGGTGAACTGCCAACTATCTGTGCTTAGTGTGATGCCCGAACTGCTGCAGAGTTTACCTCACTGTTTCTGCTCCACCCTCAGCTTTCAGCAGTCCCTGTACACCTGCTTCCCAGGGGGAGTCTCTCTCTCTATCTCTATGTTCTTGACCCACTCCCAGAGGTAGACCACTGTTGCTTGTTATTCAATACAAGGCTTGTGAGGCGGGGCGATCAAGGTCTTTTTCTAGTTCTCATGAACTGAGTCCTCGGCTTTCTCAGAAAGGAGCATATTAGGCAGTCCTCTTTGCCTGAGCCTCAGGGATGGAGAACCCTCAGCGTTATCACTCCTTCCCCAGTGGCTGACATCCTCTTCCTCCTACTCACTGTAGGGTCTATAGCACAGGAAGATCTCCTGCCTCCCTTCTCATGGTAGCTAAATGCTGCCTTATATTGGTGGGGGTTCTTGGCCATGAATGCACTGCCTGCCCCTTCTTCAATAGCAGCAGATTCTGCTTTGCATTAACCCATATCCTGGATATAAGCACATTTTTTCTCCCTCATCCGAGTGGCATATGGCTTTTGCCTTTTGTCAGTCAAGGGTGGGAGGACAAAATGGAGGGTGGGATGTAGGAAGATTTCTTACCCCACAAGACAATAGTTTTGCTTCTATCCTAGGAGCCAACCTTTGCTTAGAACAGGTAGCATGGCGGGAGGAGGGGAAGGAGGAGGGAAGTAAGAAGGGAAGATTTCGCACCCTTCCCCCAGCAGTAGACAATTCAAACACAACTTGAAACAAGGTAAGGCCCATGTACAGACAGGCTTCTTGTCTTCCAGTGGCAGGTAGATTTATAACAGATCACAATCTTGGGCATAGATGGGGTTCGGGCCAGTCCCCCCAGTGGCAGCTGATCACCACTGTGTATAGAGAAGTTAATATCAACCCTTGGCAGACCCCACATGCACGCACTATATAGGGGTCCTCCCTCAGGTCTTCTGTCTTGCCCCCAATCTTCCTTGTGAGCACCTGGTAGAATGTTAAAGAACTGGTAAGTGGCTGTGGACTTCCCTTGTGTCTGCGGCTCCCAAGGATTCTAAACTGTCACTCTGCCTTTAACGATTTGTTTAAATTTAATTGTTTTTTCTTCTTACTCACTTTGTGGCAGCTGCCTCTTCCTCTCATACTCTGCCATGGGCGAAATAGTTCACTTGTCTCGTCCTTCCTTAAGGAGCTTATCACCCTGTGAAATTCAGTTCACCTTGTGGCCTTAACTAAAAAAAATTATGATTTTATAGATTATTTAGCTTTCTCGTTTTTATGTTGGGCGCAACATTCTTCTGCACCTTTCTACCTTCGAAGTGGAATATTAAACCCAGGGTTAGATTTTAACAATACATTTTAAAAGCATGATGGGTTACTTGTGCTTACCCTCTACATGTTTGGCCTGAGGTAACAGGTCCATGAACTTTGGCCTTTGATGTTATTGTCACCCTGTGTCCTCACAGACCTGCAGCTACAGGAATACGATACCTTTGCTCCACTATCAGTTTTCTGCTTATTCTGCCTAGAGTAGCAATGAATTCTTTTTTTTCCTTCACTATCTAGTTATCCTCTTCTGCCTTCCCTACTGGGTCTAGGGAAGATAGGAAGCAACACTGAAGCCTGCTTTTGTTTTACTCCTTTTTGGGGAATTCTTGTTTTCTGAGTAACGGTCCACTCATTTAAAGGGGAAAAAAAATCTGCTAGTAGTTTTACCTTTGGAATTAGAATGCATATTGCTGGTATCCTGACTCATACCAAATTATACAAGAAAAGGGGTCCTTTGGTAGAGGGAGGAAGTTTGGTGGTGTAGTGGTTAAGAGCTATGGCTGCTAGCCAAAAGGTTGGCAGTTCAAATCCACCAGCCACTCCTCGGAAACTCTATGGGGCAGCTCTACTCTGTTCTGTAGGGTCGCTATGAATCAGAATCGACTCAATGGCAAGGATTTGGCTTTTTCGTTTTTGGTAGAGTGGAGAAAATATGCAGATCTTTTTGGCAACAACAGAGTTGTGCTAAGAGGTCTGAACAGTAAAATATACCCTTCAGTGCTTTATAGATGTTTTGTCCTAATGCTAATAAATGAAAGTTTTGTTTTCTGTACCCCTTCCCAACCCAAAGTACTCTACTCAATTCTCACTCCAAGCACCATATATAGGAGAGCTAGATGGAATAAAATGACTGACAGACTGAGCCAGAAAAAATGAGGGAACAATCAGATGCCTGGGTGGAGGACACAGGGGTTAAGAGACTCAGGGGCTGTAAGTTGAGGGGAAGAGAAAAGAAGATCATAAGCAGGATCTCCTTTTTCAAATACAAGGTGAACTCTCGGTGGACTTGCAAGCTGTTTTATACCATTGTCTGGACTCAGCATGAACGTCTTTGTCTAACAGTAGGATTTTCTCAGTAATAGATTGGACCATACTTCCCTTCCAAACCTTTATAACAGGGCAAAGAGATAATCTGTTTTAAAGAAAAAAAAAAAAGCACTAACATTTATTTCTAAAACAGGATTAACTGCAATGTGAGCAAAAGGAGAAAAAAAAAAAAAAAAACTTTCCACAGGACTTTTGGATATTTTACAGTAAATGTTTAAGTTATTGGCTAATATATAAATATTTTTTAGATCAAGCTCTGCAATGTTTAGGAATTTTTTTTAAACTAAAGCTTAATAATTAAATGGTCAATAGTAGTGTCAATTTATCTGCTTTCATTTAGTCATATTTGAAGCACATGTATACAACATTTAGAAAGAGTTGTATGGATATTTGCTGATTGAGTAAGGACTACTCAAACACTGAGTCTGATTCATTTGTAATAGTTTAATAATTTAATGACAATCGTTGACTGGCTACAGGTTAACTAGTCATAACAGGTAGACAGTTTACATAAATAGCCCATAATTAGTGCACTTCAACAAAAGGAAAATCATGAGTTCCCCTCTTTTCATTTTATTTCTGTTCCTGTGTCCTATCGACAATTTTTCCCAATACCAAACACTGTTTCATTTGCCTTTTTCATCCATGCTTACATTGGCACATGTTATATTAAATGTCTGTGTCTTAATGATTAAGCACTGGGCTGCTAACCAAAAGGTAGGCAGTTTGAACCCACCAGCTGCTCCTCTGGAGAAAGATGTGGCAGTCTGCTTTCCTAAAGATTACAGCCTTGGAAATCATATAGGGCACTTTTTCTCTGTCCTAAAGCGTCGCTATGAGTTGAACTGACTCGATGGCAATCGGTTGGTTGGTTGGTATCTTAAAAGATCCCAACAGCCTGACTTCTCTGGTTCTCAAAACTTAAAGCCCCCCAAGTGAAATGCCCTGAGGTTTCTGAAGTTCTCTTTCTATTGTAGGGTTGGCAGAGTACATTCTGGAAAACTGGAAGCAGAAGAAACATGTTGGTCATGTGGTTGTGATGAGATTTGGGGAATCTCAGGTGTGGAAGGGGGAGTAAGAGGGCACTGTGATGATCTCTGAATCCATGACATTTGGGAGTAAGGGGAGAAGATTGAAGAGAGAGGGCTTGAGTTTAAGCGAGATTTAGGGAAGGAGATGGGAACTCTATCGTTTTTCCTGATCCAGCTCTCTTTGAGGTCAGCCTTGGGCACAGTATAATTTCATGGGCTTAGAATAGATTATCTCTCCCATCTACCAAGTACACTTAAATGCCTTTTTAGGCCAGCTGCCATCGAGTCAGCTCTGACTCATGGTGACCTCATGTGTGTCAGAGTAGAACTGTGCTTCACAGGGCTTTCAATGGCTGATTTTTTGGAAGCAGATCACCAAGCTTTTCTTCTAAGGTGCCTCTGAGCAGGCTTGAGCTCCCATCCATTTGGTTAGCAGCTGAGTGTTTAGCCATTTACACCACCCAGGGACTCCAAAAGGTCTTACATAAGAAAAACTCTTCCATCCCACTAGTGAATATAATGGGATTAAAATATAAATATGTAAGACAGTTAAATTGGTCTAAATATATTACAGTCAACCCACAAGTGAGGATCCCAGAAACCATCTTCTCTGGATTAGAAAAAGCAGTTAAAAAATAAGTATGAGGAGAAAGTTGGGCAGGAGTGGGATCAAGTCTCAGAAAGTAAAAGGGAACAGAATGGTGAATCTTGAAACAGCTATGATAATGCTTCAGAGCTTGAAGGTGCTTTCCAATACAAAGTGCTTTCCCACTCATGCCTCAGTTTGTTCTCACAGCAACTCCATGAAGTATAAGAGGTATCTCCTCCAGCTTACACAGGATGGAACGAAGCCTCCAAGGTGTTAAATGACTTGCCAGTCATCACAGCAGTAATTGGCAGGGCTGTAAGAAGCTCAAAACAAGCTCTAAGCCTCATTAATCTATCATTTGGCTGCCTTTCCAATTTCTTTGACTTTATGATATAGCACAGGTCTCATTTGCGACTGTATCGCCTCACTTCGACAGTGCACTAATTATTTCACCCTAATGTTAAACTATTAAACTTATTAAAGAAGACATAATTTTAAAGTTACTTTCTTGTCCAATTTAGCAATGCATAGAAAGACACATTAATTACATTGACTGTATAGGAGGGAAACTGACAGCCAAGAACATTTATTACCATACAAGATTAAAAAATATATATATATACCACGTTTTTATAAACTACAAGGATCGTTTTCTAATTTTTCAAAATTTTATTTCCATGTATAATGTCATTTTATGGAAAACTGATTTCAGTTTCCTTCTTGTCATTTTAAGAATTAAAAAAAAAGTCTCTGACCTTCGTTCAAAATACTTTTCTCTTCAGATTCAAATGGAATGGTATCAATCATGTTGGCATCATTACAATCAACGCCCACTGCCTAAAGCAGAACTCTCAGGAAGTTCGGAACTAAACAGGGCAAGATGTCGTTTGAGATTTTTCCTCTCCGCTGGCTGCTCACACAGTTTGACTTCAATGTTGCCATCACTGAAGCCTTCTCCTTTGGTCTCCTCTACTGGGTTCTCTCTCCGGGAAAACTTACCTTTCTTCCGCATCATCGTAATTCCTGAATTGCCGTGCCTTCGTGCTGGAGATAAGGATTCTTTCACTATGCAGTAACAAACTGCAGACAGGAAATTTTTTTTGAAGTTTTCATTCATAAATGCGTAAACAATGGGATTGCAGATGGAATTGGAAAATCCAATGATTTGCACGATCGCAAAAACCATCTTGACTGTGACATCATCGTAGTCCTTTTCAAAATTACCTGCAAGAGAGTCAGGCTTTAGAATGCATATTTGTTTTAATAAACAAAACATAAAACTTCTGCTTATCATCTGTCTTTACCTGAGACTTACCCACTGACACAAGTGGTGAAAACTGTGACTAATGCTCAAGACCATTTTGGGGAGAGGCATCTGATGTCTGAATAAAAATAACCTTTGTGATGAGTTCTCATTCTCAGAGAATCTAGGCTTACAGCGACATAGCCTGGTGCCTGGCATGTGGCGGGGGCTCACTGCATCTCAGCTTGATAACTCCAAGCTTCATGTAAACTGGCAGAAGCGGTTCCTTTTCAAATGTCCATATGGGATACAATCAGACTGAGAAGCATGTTAAGTGCCTGGATATCAGAGACAATACACTTCTGGTCTGACTGAAATCCTAGCTATTATTAAATTCATGTGGTTCAAGTAAGGTGTCTAAATCAGGAAATACAGGATGTCACATCTCTCGCAATTTATAAATGAGCATAAGGAGTCAAAGGGAAAAGCACGGGAGAAGAATCTCAAAAGCTTTATCTTCTGTAATCATTAAAGATTTAGTCATAGTCAAACATAATTACGTACCAGGTAAGGATCTTGTGGTCTTGAAAAGTGTGAAAGAAACATATTAAATGTTTGATTGCCCAATGATTCATTATCCAGACTAGCAGGAAATGAACTAGAATGTCCATTACATAAGAATGACAAGCACTCACTGTATTCGATCATCATGTGAAAGACGTGGAAAGGTGCCCAGCACGCAGCAAAGAGGGCCACCACTGTCACCATCATAATGACAGCTCGCTTCTTCTTCCTGGACCCATAGGAGACATAGCGTATTGGTTCACTTCTCCTTGGAAAATGTGTCACATTGATAGCAAAGCTATTAAATAAAGTTTGAGCCTAGATCTCTCAACCATAATTTTTTAACTACTCATGCAGTTTATGATAGGTTAATTGCAGGCTGATTATCATCTTTTCCCCCTGGATTTTACCCACATCCCTATAGTTCTCATATTATAAACATACTTATGATGCTAGAAGGTAATAAAAAAATGAACTAAAAGTTCTCAAAATGAGTGACCTGGAAAGCACTATACTGAACAAAATAATATCAAGAGTCAACATTTACTGAGTGCTCACTATGGGTCTGGCACTGTGCTAAATGTTTGGCATTTAATCTTCCCAACAAGCCATTTGACAGATGCAGAAACTGAGGCACAGAGAAGATTAAGTAATTTGCAAAATCAGATGACAAGTTAGGGATGTAATTTGAATTTGAAGTTAGGCAGTCTAACTCCAGTGCATAAGCTCTTATTCACTTTATACTGAAAAGCATTCCTGCTTTTGATAGCAAAACATCAATATTTATGCACTATGGGAGGCATGCTGGATAGAATTTAAAATGCAATCCTTTATTAAATCTCTAAATAACATGATTTGCCAGAAGTCAAACGCGTTTTCTCCATCAATCCTGTAATGAAGGTTAGCATTTGCAAGAGCACTACATTTGCATAGTCCGTTAGGTTTACAAAAAAGTCACACTCATTATATCTTATTTCAGCATGGTCTAGTGGGAGAGCTAAGTCAGCAATTTAAAAACCCAAGTGCTGAACAGTTGAGGGGCTCCAAACCGTCACAAGGAGAGGGACGATTTCTTTATATACACAAGGCACTAGAGGTCGCTGCACACTTGAAGAAATTATGAGAATCCCACCAAATCTAGACTTCTCCAAATTGGGTTTTGTTTGTTTTTTAATAACCAGAGTGTAGATTACAAAATAAACCATATGAGCCATAAGCACTATAGCAGTAAATTCTGTTTTAAAGTAGCTATTAATGAATAATATTATAGCAAACGTCTTAGTAAAAAACAAAATACATGACTAACACACTTTAAAGTAAGCATGCTCTACTTTTGAAAGGATTTTTCACACATATCATCTCCCCAAGCCCATCAAGCCTGTGTGGGAAGAAGTAAGGATGGATGCTACTTTGCTCCCTCATATGTGTGAGGAAACCAGGGGCCTCAGGAGCAGGCAGAGAGACTCACATCATGTGGCTGCGGTTGGCAGAGAGGAGAGTGCCTACAGGACCACCAGATCCTGACACCAGCTCACAGCTCTTCCTACCAGGTCATGTTTACATACAGACAAAAATATAACAATTTTCTAAATTCCAAATAAGTTTGTCTCTGTAACAATAACTCCCCCTTTGAAGTGGGTGCTGGCGGTCTTGCTTTTTTCTTCCTACCACACATATAACTTCAAAAGTTTAAGGTCAACCCAAGCCCTAACTGTAAATTACAAATGATGGTTTGACCAAATTAGCAAGGAATGCTGGGATCCCTGGCTACTGTAAGTTTCAGAACAACTAACAATATTTTAAAGAGAGATGAATGTTTTGGTTTACACGGACCTGACTATTTTTGACTTTTCTTTTCCATGAATGGTTCGAAGCACCGAACCATCCCCCACTCTTTTCTTCATCCAAAGTTCATAACCAATTTTACTGTACAGGATCAGCATCACCATAAGGGGCAGAAGGAAGAGGATGACAAGGATGAAAGTGGTGTAGGTTTTCTGGTGCACAGGGCTGGTCCACTCTTCCAAGCAACAGACATGTTCTTTTTCATATAAGAAGTCATACTTTATCTTGAAAATAAGAATAGTTCAGTTAGAAGAAGTAGTACTCAGAATCAAAAGAACAAAACACAGCCAAGTATCATGGTAAATGCAGGATTTATAAGTCTTTAAAATTTTACCACTAGTATGTATTTCCAGTGAGATATAATATTAATTGTCCTTTTGCTGCAAAGTATGGCTTTTATGTTCAACTGCTTGAGTTCTTAAGAGTTTTACATTTTCTTTTCTATTTTAAATGGAATTGAAGTCCATAGCCTATTCAATTTCATTTTTTATCTTTCTCAACTTTTATTTCCACTACAGTTACAAGTTTTCAGTTGGATGAAAGAGCACTACAATTGCCAAAGCCTGTATGACAAAAATATTTTGTACTGCATTCTAGCTAGTTTAATGTTAAACCATTTTGCTTCCTCAATTATTGAAGAGACAAATTTTGGCAAGGTGTCAGACTTCTTCCAGTTGAGAAGTACGGAAAGCCCATATTTTGCTACTGTTATTTTGTATTGCTATGATCACATTGCTTGGAAAGATATTAAAAAGACAACTGGTAGCTATAGGGTCGCTATGAGTTGGAATCCATGCGATGGCAACAGGTTTTGGTAGCTTTTAGATTCTGAGACAAATGAGAAATTGAGATTCAAACTATTATCATCCTAGAAATACTCATACTCAATGTAAGCCCTTGAGAATTATATATTTATAGCAAAGTCATGCTGATTTACTCATACTATTTCTGACAGACTAGTCTTCTTTTGAGTTCAAAATTATCATTAATAACAATATTAATAATGATAACACAAATACTGTTGTTGTTGGGTGCCGTCACACAAATGCTAATAAGGATTTATTTCAAAAACAAACTAAATATTTACAGTCCATTCGCAGCTCACTTCTCTGGGTAACAGGAATAAAAATGAGAGAATTCATCAAAACTATTGGCATTTTGATCACTCTGGAGTTTTTTAGATGAAAATATTTAGGTCTTAGATAAAGTTCTGCCTACACTTCTAGCAAATTTTACCACCAGTCTTCAATGCCAAATGAATGGGGGGAAAAGTTTTTCAGTATACTCACCAAAGGTATGAAAATTTAAGTTCTGATCTAAGTGTTATTTGCAAACACCATTAGCAATGACAACGGACAGACAGGAATGCCTACAAGCAGCACAGAGCTCCCCTCACTGTAAATCACCAGGCAAGGCTGGAACTGTCTGACAAGGTGTGGTGGAAGGACGGAGGTTGGATAAAATGATCTCCTGACATTGTTTCCAATTCAAAATCCAATTTGTCGATGAATGGGAGGCAGGTAAGGAAGGACTTACAAAGGAGAAATCAACTGATAAGTAGAAAATCACAAATTTTTTATGTGGCTTACAAGCAAAACCTAAAGCAATCAGTCTGTTAAAATGTAACAAGATATTGAAGGACACTAAGAAAAGCATCCTCAGCCGGCAGAAAAAAATAGAAAGCAACTCTGATACTTTTTTTTTTTTTAATTCAAGCATTAGAGTCTTAACAATATAAAATCAAGGAAGAGCTAGATAAAGCAAAAAAAAAAAAAATCTTAAATTGTTTTAGTCCACTTGAAAGAGCTTCAGTGAAATAATTGAGATCTTGTACAAATTTGTGGTAATTCTCTTTCAGGAAAGAAATGGTTATAATCAAGAGAGGTGGGAAAACATTTCAAAAAATATGATCAGTCCCAGCCCCAAGTATACCTCAAGTCTCTGCACGTGCCACATGGGTGATCCCACAATGACTGCCACCAGCCAGACCACACCTGTAAGAACGTTAAAATCATCAGAATGTAACTTATCTAAGCAAAGTGCTTCGTGCTTAGTACTCTAACCATAAAGACTCTCTCTGTTCATTACACCCGATCATCTCTGCCCTGGAATAGCGCCGTGGTCTCCTCACGGGTCCTCGCTTACATTCTTTCAACGCCCTCAACCCTGCTACTGGAATGGTCTTCCTAAAACATGCTGTAAATGTTTAAAAGTCTTTAACAGTGTTGCATTGCCTGTAAGATAAAATCCAGGCATTATTTTCTGATTTACAAAACACCTATAGGCAGAAACCATGGTGCCCTTTCAAAACTCCTAGTCCTGCATGAATTTGTTGAAAGGAATTTCTTTACTAACGTGCCCTTACCAAGGAAAATAGAGACAAACTACTGTGGACCCTTTCAACCTATGAGCCCCAGCAGACTGGGAAGAAGCCAAAATCAAGAGCCTCAACTTTGATTTTGGGGAAAATTTCCTGGCTCAAACTCTGTTTGTTCTTTCTAGGGGCAACACTGATCTCTGTGTGTGCGTGCGTGCGTGCGTGTGTGTGTGCCGTCGAGTACATCCCTACTCATAGCAACCCTGTAGGACAGAGAAGAACAGCCCCATAGGGTTTTCGAGAATGTAATCTTTATGAAAGCAAACTGCCACATCTCTATTCCACAGAGCAGCTGGTGGGTTAGAACCGCCCACCTTTTGGTTTGTAGCTGAGCACTTAACCACTGCACCACCAGGGCTCCCTATATACATACATACATACATGTATATCTATATATATACTCTATATCATCATACACATCTAATTCTATTCTAGTCACATCTAGTTATCTTATGTCCAATCATTTTTCCAATCTTTAGCACAAATTCTGGAGGAATTGAGTCTAACTGGTTTAGTTCACTGCCAACACTCTTTGGTCCCTGTGTGCTCAGGGATAGAAGGGCTACATGAAGGTTAGATGTACATTTCTGACACAGTCTGGAACCACTTCTGAGCAAGAAAGTCTATAGGGCTCACTAGGCCAGGACTTGGAGGCAAGGCAGTTTCAGCTATAAGGAGGTACGGGACATGACAGATACAGTGATTGACAAGGCTGGTTCCAGGTACAATAGAGGTGGAGGGAGATGTCAGGCAACACTGCACAAAAGCCCTCATAGGTAGATGAGTTGACTTTATTTATAAACTTCCCTGTCTCCAATGACTTTTTTTTGAGTAGGAACTGCCTTGACTGCTTATTATCAACTTTTCTTTCAGATGTTGAGACTCCCTCCACTTCTCTTTCCTTTTTAATAACTCCCCTCCTCCAAGTATTCCTTACTTTACCTTCTTTCCACAACCACACACAGTTTTCAAATGTTCTGATGTTGGAAAGATGTCAATTATTAAAAGTCAAGAGATCTTTGAATTCTTTGTAGGGAAGATGTGACATAAATTTGAAAATAGCTAAGTAAAACTAATGAATTTTCCCCCTATTGATTTATCTATACATTTCAAACTATTTAAAATGAGTTTGGCATCGCAAAGCCTTCAGGGGTTCTTTTTGTAATTCCACGATCCAATGTCGGTGAAATTCTTACAGCAGAAATAAATATTTAATTCTTTGATTACCACTTTAGTTGCTTACTATACCTCTGATTATTTAGCTATAATAATTTCAAACCACATTAAGGGTTTAAATGGCTCAATTATAATTACCAAATAGAGAAACTTCCATTTAACTGTGCTAGCCATTAGCTTTGAATTTAGCATTTATCACTGGGTACATGCTCATCATGACTTGCTGAATCAGGAACACTTACAGCAAGCTGAAGAGCCAGGATTGCCTGGAGCAAAATTATGAAGTAGGTGGTGGAATCTGTCTTTGTCAGGCACCTTCCTCCAGCACTGTGTTCTCATGTAGCCAGTGGCTTTCTGCTATTGTGTCCTCCCCACCAGGACCACCACTTGGTGGTCCTGTTCTCCTCTTTTCTAAAAACTTCATTCATGCTGTCATCAAAATTTACTCACCCTGTTTATCTTAGTTTATGGTCTTCTGATTTTAGATGGCAATTCACTAATTTAATGTTCATGTGGCCATGTGCCACCGATGGGTTATTTTAGTTTAGCTGAAAGTGATGCTTAAAACTTTAAGACTTAAACCCAAGAAGTGAATATAAAAATAGAGACATTCAGTGCTGTAGCAGGCCTAGAGGAGAGATGGGGTGAAGTTGGGGGAAAGTGGGGAAAGTTGTGAAATCCTCAAGTTACACCCCTATGCCTACAAACTAGACAAGAGGGTACTCTTGTCATCTGTGTCTATGGTTCTCTTTGAAGAAATTCTCTGTGTCCTGGAATGGAGAATGGCATTAACACTGACACTGGAGCAGGCAGTGGCCTCACCTAGCATTGTGAATGCCCTTCGGTTGGTATACTGCCACTTCATTTTAAAAGGATGGACAAGTCCCTGGTGCCTTTCCACAGCGATGCAGGTCATAGTGAGAATCTCTGTCACTATAGCAGTGGACTGGACAAATGGCACCATCTTGCAAATGAAGGCACCTGTAGCAAGGAAATAGCACAAGTTATACATCAAAAGAATAAAAGTTTTATCTGTCTCTCTGTAATTATCACAGTTAATTAATTCTGAGCCTTTCTTCAAAAGTTAAGGAGCCCTGGTGGTGCAGTGGTTAACAGCTGGGCTGCTAACCACAAGGTCAGTGGTTAGAACCCACTAGCCCTCTAAGGGAGAAAGATGTGGCAGACTGCTTCCATAAAGATTACAGCCCTGGAAACCCTATGGGGCAGTTCTACCCTGTCGTATAAAGTCACTGGGAATTGGAATCAACTTGACGGCAATAGGTTTGGTTCTCTTCAAAAGTTTTATGACTATAATTACGTTACAGGCACAAAATAATTAAGAAAGGTTGCACTGGTTTATATTTTCTCTCCCCAATTGGATTCCATGTTTCTAAATGATATTTAATTATGTATAATAAGACAGTGAGACTTGTAGCACAAGTCAGCATAGGCAGAAAAAAAAATAAAGGTGACCTTTGCTTGAGAAGAGCAAACTCAGTATGAACTGGTCTCCCAGGGTCTAAACTACACAGTGATCTTTAATTTTTTCTTCCCTTTTGTCACTTCCTTTCAAATCACAACAAAGGAATAATTCTCATTAAAGATCCCGAGATTTCTCCTTTTCTCCTTTATCCCCCTTTGACTCTCTGTCTAAAACTTTACATCCAGATTACACCATTTGTCTTGTAGCTGATTTCACTTTCTCTGGTGTAAAGGTTTCAAACTTACAGGCCTCAGGCAAGATTTGGCCTGCAAACATGCTTTGTTTGGTTTACATAATATTTTTTTAAATATTTGAATGCGTTGTCAATATTTAAAAATTTTTATAATTTTTGCTGGCTCCTTCATCATTTCGGTTTATAAACCCTGGTCTAGCATCTCTGCCCTTGAATCCAACCTGTCCCAAATTAATTATTCCTAACTATAAGAGAATCATAAGCCCGGGAAATAGAAAAAGTTGAGAGAGACCTCAGGGGTCATGTAGTCCAAGCTCTCAGCGAAAGGAGAAATCCACTCCTCACCTTCTCTTCTCTCAAATGCTCTTCCAAGCTCATCGTAAATACCTCCAGTGGCAGCCTCCTTACTTGCACATGCCTACGTTAGGGCCTTTGTATGGCTCTTCCTTCTGCCTGGAATGCTCTTCCCCAAGATAATTCCTTCACCTCCTTCACTGAAGTTTTTGCTTAAATATCATCTTCTCAATGACTCTGATCATCACCACATTTATAATTACAGCCTGTCTCATCCCCTTTCCAACTTCTCTCATTTCTCACCTCTCTTATCCTATTCTTTGTTCAAAACTCTTTCACCTTCTAACATACTATATGACTTACTGATTTGTTTATTTGCTTATTAAAGGTCTCCCCACAGTTCTGCAATGTATGTGCCGCAAGAGCAGGGGTTTTTCTTTGTTTTCATCATTGATGTATTCCAAGCACTTAGAATGTAATTAGTAGGCCTTCAATAAATATTCATCTACTTGAAGAGTATGAGCGACTGGGAGGCTCTGAACCTCTAAAGGTGTCTCAATAACTCCAAAAAGGAGACTGTAATTGAAAATGGTGCTTTCTGATAATTCCAGCAACTTCTTTTAGTTTCTGGGGCATCTCGGGTAAAAGGAACAACTATCTTTTCCAAATAGCAGCTCTCATATATTTGAAAGATGATTTCATGTCATTTCTAAGTCTTCTGTAGACTAAATATAACAAGTTGCCCCAGATGTTCTTCATTTGACGTGATTTATTAAACTTTAAACTCCCTGAACACCTTCTGTTAGACTTTCTCCCATTGGTAACTACATGGCCCAAAAGGGAGGCCACCATACTCAAGATGTTGGTCTGGCCAACTCAGAAACTGTAGGACCATATTTCTTCCCTGGGTATGAACATACTCTTCTGAGACTGTAACTAAAGTTTACATCATCATTGTGTTCTAGTTTTTGCAAATAGTTGGCTTCTGTTGAACTTGAAGTCAGTGTAAACTCTGTGTCCATTTAAGAGAAATTTTCTGTTAACTCAAGATTTCCTTGCCTCTCATTTTGTAACTAAGGGGAAAAAACTGTATTTAGCTATGACCCTAGATACTCCTTTCTAATCTTCTTGGAAGCTCCACATGGCAACCAAAGAGCCAATCCCACCCACTCCCATACCCAGTTCCAATTCCTCAAATCTCAATGCTGTTCAAAGTTAAGGCCCTCCTTGTCCAGCAAGATAGTTTAGATGCTAAAGTGCAGGGATTTACTTTCATTGTTAATATACTTCACTGTGTTTGAATACCGATTATTCTGTCAATGAATTAGCTTACTTCAAATCATGCTTTGGATATTATAATAGAATAAATTAATTTGTGAATAAATTGTCAATCTAGATATTCCTGCTGAGTTTACTCGCAAAAGATCAGACTTTATTCTTTCAACCAAATATTTGACAAAAATGTTGATAGGAAAAAGGGAAGGAAGAATCAAAAGGATAACAGAAAAAAACTTTCCATGAAGTGGACATGAATCCATAATCAAACATTTTAGGTATAACTACCCAAATAAATAAAAATACATCTCACTGTGGCAAAGTGGTTAAGAGCTCAGGCTGCTAACCAAAAGGTCAGGAGTTTGAATCCACCAGCCACTCCTTGGAAACCCTATGGGGCAGTTCTACTCTGTCCTATAGCGTCTCTATGAGTTGGAATCCACTCAACAGCAACAGATTTGGTTTTTTTGGTTTCTCACTGTAGTGCTATCCATCCTACATATATTCATTTTATCCATTATAATAACATGGGAGATTCATCAATTAATTCCTAATATCTAGATACACTCTCTACAGCATTCATTTGATCTGTTAACCACTCAGAGCCTTAGTTTCATCATTTGTAAAAAGGGATTAATAATATCCACCTGTCATAGGATCAATGTGAGTATTTCAAAAGATAATGACAAAAGCACCC